GAAGGTGTCTTCCTTTCCTTCTCCTCTGAAGTTTAACCCTTCTCCTTCCACCTGAATGAATTCCCCAAAACCAGATATTCTTCCAACCATAGAATCATAGACTCCCAGAATCATTAAGGTTGGAAAAGACCTCTAAGATCATCAAGTCCAACCGTCAACCCAACACCCCCATGCCCACTAAACCATGTCCCTAAGCGCCTCATCTACACGTCTTTTAAATACCTCCAGGGATGGTGACTCCACCACTTCCCTGGGCAGCCTGTTCCAAGGCCTGACCACTCTTTCAGTAAAGAAGTTTTTCCTAATGTCCAGTCTAAACCTCCCTTGGTGCAACTTGAGGCCATTTCCTCTCGTCCTATCGCTGGTTACTTGGGAGAAGAGACCGACCCCCACCTCGCTACAACCTCCTTTCAGGTAGTTGTAGAGCGCGATGAGGTCTCCCCTCAGCCTCCTCTTCTCCAGGCTAAACAGCCCCAGTTCCCTCAGCCGCTCCTCATCAGACTTGTGCTCCAGGCCCTTCACCAGCTTCGTTGCCCTTCTCTGGACACGCTCCAGCACCTCAGTGTCCTTCTTGGAGTGAGGGGCCCAAAACTGAACTTCAAGTCCCTCTCTGCATCTTCCAACCCTGCACGTTCCATGAGTTTATTCCCCACCTTTTGTGAAAAGTTACTTAGTGAAAAAACCCAACATCCAGCTGCAACTTCACAGTTCAGAAACTCCAACAGTGACCCGTCCCCAGCCGGACATCTCATCCTTCAGCACTACCCATCCTCCCACCCCCCAATTCATATCGATCTCCATCTTCTCCTGACTCAGGAGATCATTTCCAGAGTGCCCCTTACTGAAATGTTTTGCTGAAGAACAGATCCAGCAGGTCTGCCACATTTCCCTGGAAAATGAGCTGTCAAACCCAGCACGTTATAATTTAGCTTCTAATAAACCCATGCGAGACCAACCCATTTTCTAGTTAGCTTTCTGTTTACAAATACTAATTCCTTCAAAGTTTGTAGTAAAACATTGCCATGGAATTAAAACGAAGGCTTGCATTTGCCCACATAATTTATCCCTTTTCAAATATAGGCATGAATTATTTAGAACTACCTTTGATTTCACAGACATTTTAAAACCATTCCTATTATTGCATAAAATGATTGCACTGAACTCCATCTGATCTCTGTGCAGCCCACTGTCAGGATTTTTTCTCTTCCATCGTTTTTGAACACTGAGTCAACGCCAGTCAATCAGAAATATTTAAGCACACGTCAATCAGAAATATTTAAGGCTAATAATAATTTGTAGGCAAATAAAAACAAAACAACTGTGAGGCTTTACTCCTAATCTTAGGACAAGTAGAAAAAATACTCCTGTAGCTCCGCTGATGTGTTATATATTTGGGTGGCTAGAGTACGTATTATCTACCTATACCTAAAAGCGAAACATCACACATGCCACCTTGGCCTTTACAGGTGAATCTCTCCAGGCAACTTAAAGCAAATCCCACCATTTGCTTCCCCGTTCTGTCGGTGCTTTCTGTTCCTCGGCACGGCAAGGCTGCGATTGCTCTGCGCTGGCGGCGCTGCCGAAGCCGGCATCACCGGGTGGGAGGCTGTAATCACAGCTCCGGCGGTTTCCATGGACACCTACACCCGATGGGGATGGAACGGGGTGAGCCGGGCACCGGGGGGGGCACTCGGCCCAACGCCCAGATGTTGGCACAGCTGCTTCTGCAATTAACCTCTATAAAGGGGAGTTTTACAGAAAACGCCTCCGCGTTACCGGTTATTACCTCATTCCCAGGAGTAAAATTTCCTCGCCAATTCCTTTTACGACAAAATATGTAAAACTAACTCCAAATGAGAGTTTAGAGTAAAATAAAATTTAAAATCTCAGGTTACAGAGGCATAAATGCTGAAAGCAAATGCTTTACATGTTAATAATTCTACTTTGTTTTAGAAAATATTTCTTTACATAAAGGGGTTCTCTTGGTACACGTGTGTGTTTATTGATGATGGTGTTAGATTAAACATCTCACATATATGCACAGGTCAAAGCTATGGTAAAAAACATCCCCAAAAATTACTGCAGTCGGAAAGTAAGTTAACATGTAAGCACAGTTATGGTAAATGAGTTAAACCTGGTGCCTGCTATGCAGTGATGCGTAAGTAATAATTAGGAAAAAAAAATCCTGAAAACTCTGATACCAAAGATGTCTCTAATGAAATCAACTGAACCGGTGTATCTTGAATGTTAGAAACGTAAGAATCCTGACATACAGAAAAATTAATGCAGTCCAAAGAAAGGGAAAAAATGTTGTATGCTTTAAATGTAGGCATACAAACATACTTTGAATAAAATTTGTGAGCAAACTGTGCTCCTAAAATTAGTTAATATAGTCAAACAGCTAAGGAACATTGAAAAGCAGAGAGAGAGATTTTCAATCTGTTTGCCAGGTGATTAGGGATTTATATACCCCAAATCCCACTCACCAACACACAAAATTAATTTCAATGTCACAGTGTACTTCTGAAAATCATCTCGCATGCACGCAACCTTTCCAGCCTCACTAGGAGCTACACACTGTTATGCCCGTAATTATACAGCGCTGGTCTTCCAGTCATCCGAATCAATGATCCTGCTAAAACTGTTCATTTAAACATGTTTAAATGCTCTCTTACACCTACAATTTTGCAGCTGAAAGTTGAGACCTCGCATACAGTCAGGCTGAAAAATTGCTATTAATAACCCTTTGTGCATATCTGGAAAAGCTTCATCAATAGCACCCAGCCTCATCAGTATTTACATGCAGAAAGCAGGGCCCGGCAGGACGTCACTGCTGGGTCCCGCAGAGCAGCCGAGGGCGGGGCGGCGCGGGGGCCGTGGTGTGGCCATGCCTGTTTCCTCGCACCCTGACATCCCTCTCGCTGCACGCTGCGGAGTCTCTGCAACGTGGTTGCCGTTTACACATGCTATAATACGAGTATTTCTATAGATCGGCTACTACAAGTTAAGTTACACGTGAATTAAACATCCTTGCTCCTTATTCATTTACTATAAGATGTCCTACAATAGTGAAAACAGAAATTTCGGAGACCGAGAACAACGTATTAATATATCACACTGCTTAGGAAATACACACGGAAACATTTGCATACCCTCTTCTGCACTTCTAACAGCTGCCAGAAAACCAAAAGTAAACAGCCTCTCGTTCCTGTTAGAGTACACATTTGCTTTCTCTAGCCTTGCTTTGGAAAGGGTATTAAAAATAATCTGTCCATCAGAATCTTCTTTTTCTGATGGACAGATTATTTTTAATACCCTTTCCAAAGCTATATGAGCTCCTTTCTGACTACCAAGTTTTCAGGGCATTCTCTGATTGGGAAAAAACACTTAACAGAATTTAACAGAGAAGGAAAAGCGTTTAAGGAATTCTATAAATGAAAATACGGTAAATGTTTAAGAATAAATGAGGTTTTCATTTACTGAAGTAGACTCTTACAGCTGTAAGAGATTCCTGCCAGGATTATTTTTTTTCCCCCATTGCCATTATTAAAAGACATCCTCCAAAAGGCATCATTAAAGACCGTTCAGCAACGAGCAGCAGCACAGCTATAAGACGAAATACCGATTTACCCAGAAATAAGGAAGTTGCACACAGCCGCACACGTTGCCACGCTCACGCGCAGTGCTGTACGGGAACCGAGCGGCTGCCCGGCAGGACAGACAGACTTCCATCCCGCGTCGCCGGCCCGTGCTGTGAGAGGGGGCTCCGGGCAGGCAGTGGGGAGATGGGGGGAGCCCCCGCGGACGCTGCTCCTCAGCCCTCCCCGGGGCACCACGTCCAGCCGAGACATGCCCCTGTGCCTCGCCGAGACCAAAAATCCTTTTAAATCACCACACCAGGGACAACGCTGCTGCCGCTTGCAGATGAGACGGTCGCAGACATGAGCCAGGGGAGGCAAAGGCACTTTATAACATTTTTTGAGGACGCAGGGGTTAGCAAGAGAGGGATTTGGGGGTTTGTTTTCTGAATAGCAGACCAACACCAAAACTAACCCCCTCCCATTGATGATAAAAACATCCGATGTAGTAAGAGCTCTAGAAACATCCTTATGGCTGACTCCTATTATAGTAATTTTGCAAACCAAGATTTAGTCTCAGTGTTTTCCTGACTGCAATGAGATATTCCGGAAAGCTGCTGGATAATTGCAGGTTTGTATTACGGCTGCTGGAGGAACCTCCCCAGCCCCTTGGCACTCTTTGCTACCAATTTTCTGCAGATGTTTTACATCAGATAGGTTTTTTTAAATGCAGAGGCCTTAGTATTTTATTGATCCAGTCGTACTTGATGTACTTGACTATTTAGTTGGTTTTCTTTACAGACGAAGGCTCTAAATACCAAGAAACGGCATCGCGTGGCTGCCTGGCATTTCCATGGTAATCTCCCGGTGCTGGAAGAACACAATTTTATTTCTATTTTGACACCGTGCCCTCTTATTAGGCTGATGCACGCGTTCCAGGCTGGTAATGTTTCTTAAGTTTAAGCGGGAAAACCTTCCAAAGGCATAAAATAATGTTCTCTAATATGATGCCCAAAGAGTTCTTCAGAAAATTCATGTGCTCCCTCTCCTTGCTCCCCCCACCTCATCTTAATGACTAAAACAAGAGTAATGGCAGAGCTGCTTCCCTGCTTTTGTCACCAGGGCTTTGTGCGGAGAGCACCGCTATTGCTGGTCTTCCTCTTTCCACGTATTTTGGACTGAGATTTTTAATTTAAAGCTAATAACAGTATTCTCACAAAATTTACATAAGTTAAGCCCACTGCTGGCTTAGTCACATGAGCATTGAATAGAATATTCAAGTCCAATTTGAAATAGGATTCAAGAAATGATCATTTACGGAAGGGCGGGGGGGGGAAGGAAAAACAAACCCTCAAAGTATTATTTTATATATGTTATACGTATTACAGAGGTGCCCAGGAAGCAGAACCAGCGAAACCGTACCACAGGCAGAGGTATCAGCTCAACCCACACTACACAGGACCGCAAACCCCAAATCATCCCGACCCGGAGCTGGCTGACCCACGCCACAAATCCCGACAGGATTCCCACGCAGTTGCCAAGAGCCAGAGCAGAACAGCACTAGATGAAGACAGAACACCACCATTAAATTGCTAAACTTCTCGGGAAAGCTTTTCAAAATATATTAGCATTATTTGAGCAAGAGTATGCATTAAGAATATCCTATTTAGGGCATTTCTTTAGCATATGCTGGAAGCTGAATACACGCTTACATGCTGCTCTCAGCAGAAGATCAAATGCTTTCTGCCGAAATGAATCTATTACGCCGGGGAGCGGGAAAAGGCCGTGGAATTTTAAATTATTTTATTCTGTTGCGTTTACAAGGCCTGACAGAAAAATGATCAATATTTGTATCTTTGTTAACAAAAATAGCCACTGCCAAAAGGAGCCCATGGAGAATCAACTTCCATATATTCTCCAGTACGGACTCCTAACAAAAATCACCTTGTTTGTCCCTTGTGTTAGAGTTGGTTTTTCAGGGATTATCATTTTTATGATGAAAACCCAGCGTTCTTCCAAAAGGAGAGTTAAATATTTTAGACTCTTCACTGAGAAGGGGACCTTTCCACAGTAATGACCCAAAATGGGTCCTCTAAAAGGTTTTCTGTAAGCAGTAACAAACACCAGCAATAACAAACGGCTTCAAGGTTCCCTCTGTCAGGGTTTAATGTGCATCAGCAATTCTGATCTTAAAATTTCAATGAGCTAGGTGAACTTCACTTTACAGAAAGCACGCGCACTGATACTCGGTGGAAAATGAACAGTAGTAATACACAGATTTAGTCTACGAGAGGCACATATTTAACGCTTTAAAGCGGTGCTAGTCACTCTCTGCTCTATGGATCACTTCTAAAGACATGAAAAACAATCCTGCTAACAGGCTTAAGTTAAAAATAAACTCCTGTACAGGGGCCAACATACATCCAAGGAATATTCTTAGGGGTCTATATACCAAAAAATGTCAAAATCCACTGATTTAAAACATTAACGCTCAGAAGGAGTAACTCTACCCTTCTATTTTACTGGAAAGTGAGCAATTATAGTTTATAGAAAATGGCCTGAAAATGCTTTCAAATTCTCAGTTGATCTTCTCTAGAAATACCTGCTTCACAAAAATCTTCAAAGCAGTTTCTGTCAATAGAAAACAGTCTACCAGCCCTGGCTGAAGACAAAAGACAAAATAAAAAGGAAAGAAGGATATCCCCATGATGTGCTATGGGTACTAGATGGGTACACCAGGGTTTATTTTGCATACTTACTTAAAATGCATAAATTGTGATACACCAGAGATGTTCAAAGTAATTTTCAACATCCTTTCTAACAATTACTTATCAAAGACTCAATTTTCCAATTTTCCTTTATGTCTAAAGGACAATTACTAAATGCATTTCACTCAAAGAGTTTTTATTCTTGTCATGGGCAACATACCTATTCCCAGCAGAAATACAGTCACTTTTCTGCAGGACGTGAAATTTCTCTGCAAGCTCGGCTCTCACACAGAATAAAAATCCCAGCCAGAACTTGCAAGTTCATGACGACATACACTTTCAAAAACTTCTGTTAAAACATATATTTGAATTTTTTTTTTTTACACTGTACAAACGTATATCTTGTTTATGTCAGTTAGCATTTGCACTAGCTCACAGAAAGCCTCGTTTCTTTTATAAAGCTATTACTAAAATTTGTATTATTTTAAAAGTGTAAAAAATTCCAAACAGTAATAAAATGTTTCATGCATAAAAAGGACCAAAATACTATAATGAGGCATCCCCGAATATCTTGAGAATTTAAATTAACCCACGACTTGCATGACAGCTAAAGCAGAAGTGCCTGTCCGCAGCATAGGAACCGTTACAGCACAACTGTGTTTGTTGACAGAAAATGAAGGAAAACGGCAATTACCCTAAAAGACATTTCAAGATTCTCGCCACCCCAGATATCCATTCCTGCATCGTAAGTTCCTATCTCTTCAAAGTAGTTTCTGTCAATAGAAAATAGGCCACCAGCCATAGTAGGGGTCCTAGTTGAAAACAAACAGAAAAAAAAAAAAGAGGAAAAAGAAAAGAAAAGAAAAAATACCTTTTGAAAGACACTGTGGAATTCATTAAGTGACACTACAGTACATTTCACTACCTCAGACATTTTGACTATAAATATATTCTATGTACAGCAACTTAAATATAAACTGCTAACAATAATAATACGGTTTCGACTGCATGCTCTGTGCGCTTGCCTTTCGGGCAGAGCTCCCCCCGAAGCCGATGAGAGCGCTGCCCGAGTGAGAACTGCAGGATTGCTTCCTACCCGCAAAATCACATTTCCATAGATTATTTCAGGAGCACTGTAATGGTAAAGTGGATGGAATTTTGGCCTTCTGCATCCAGAACAGCAGTTCAAATCCAATCTGAAATGCTTAGCGAAGAGAGTTTAATGCCTCAGCTTTGCCTTAGAGGGAGACTAAATGCGCATAAAATTACCAGGCATAATCTCTCTTAACAGGATTATAAATCCTTACAACAGGCAAATCCAGTCAGAGTGCAACTTCTCTTTGCGTAGAGATGTCCTATCTCCCCGTAAATATCTGCTCTATGTTTTTTCAGCATTTAAAGTCCACATGAAATGAGAAACGCTCACC